AACTCGTTTCTTGAGTCTCCTCGGAGTGAATGACCTCCACACCCAAAAAAGGTAGATGCACCTTCTATTCCACATTCATGGAAAATTTGACTTTTTAATATATTTTCTTTATGAATATCAGGAAATTATCTTATTTTTCTCTCCCGTGCGACCAAACTGCGAAGTAATCATCCAAGTACCGCCTAATTACTGCTTACTGCTGTGACGTTTTCAAATTTTACTCCAACTTGTCCATGAAGAAAATAGCAAACAGAGGTGAGAATGATGGGACCATAGGCAAACCAGATATTTGCTCATAGATAGGTATTTCTTATTGTTAGGTTCATTAATCGAGTTAGAGACTCCTTAAGTATTCGATAATCTGACATTCATTTTTTAATTGAGGCAAATACATTTGTCTAATTTATGTCTCGGTTTATATTTGCTGTTGGCTATCGGTCTCAATAATTCTCCTTCTATGTATACCTTTGGCAAACCGTATACTACTGAGGCCCTTGCATCCCATCGTATGACTGAATTGATTGTCAATTTGTCGATGTCCCTGTTCATATTCATTTCCTTCAGCATTTCTAGCAGTGCGCCTTTGATTTTAACTGTTGGGTCTCTTGCTAGCAGTCGATAAGTTTTACTATCCTCAAGAATATTTTTCATTTTCTCTGTATACTCCCCCCTGTCCATCACCACTGTAGCACCTCCCTTGTGAGCTTGTAGGACAATTTGATCATTCTTCTCAATCCTCTATATATCTTGGTTATATTGATCCTACCCGTGGCATATTGATGCACCAAGATTGTCAAGATGTTTTCCAATTCTGGCGCTCTGCTTGATTCTTCAGGTAGCTTATCAGAGGTATTTACCGCCTCCATTGAAATGTCCTTGGTTGTCTTCCTTTCATTCCGAAATACAAAATGTAGTCCCTTCTTGAGGATATTTGTGGCCTCCAGGTCAAGAGGGACGGAAGACAGATACATTACTGCATCTTCATATCTTGTTTGGACAGCGAGATCCATCATTCTAGAGGCATCTTCATTTTTGCTGGGTGGTTAGACCTTGGGCTGCCCAACGGTCCCATATTTATTCAGCTTCTTCTGGTGCCTTTGTATGATTAAGTCCGATATCCTTTTCGACATTTTGTCTGTCATCTTATATAGTTTCAAAAATCCTCCGGGGCGAGAATCAGAATTGAATCATGCTTGAGTCTAGATTTAATATATATAAACCTAATTAATTTTTCTCTTCCATATCATGTCTCCTCTAATTTGTGCAAAAAAGCTTGATACAATATATCAGTGATCTTATCGGGATGATATTTTCCTATCGAATTGCTAGTGTTCTGTTTAGCATTAAAACAAACGAACAAACAGTTTGTATTGCCCATATTTTGAACACGCCCCATAATTCCTTAAGCCAGAAAGATCCAGATAAAACTTATAACCTGGTAGACAATGGTTGAGTTAATCCGTCAGGTGGAGCAACAGAGAGATTCCAGCTTGTTGCTGGCCAATTGGCTGATTCTAATTTTCAGACTATACCTTATGATTAAATTACGTGAAATTGGGCTGAAAATTTAGCTACAATCAGTGTTATTAGAATTTTGAATTACGAGTCAAAAGTGGGCTGGAGGGACTTTTTGAAATGATCGCACCAGAAACCGAGAGAGGATTGCTGCAAAGTGAAGAGCACGATGAATTCGTGCTAAGCATTCATTTGTCTTGTTGTGACACACTTCGTCAAAGCGAGCGAGCATATTTCACGAAAAAGCGCATCGATATACTAAAATAAGACAAGTTGCGGCTGGCTGCGAACTTGATTCTTAAACCTAATTTTGTGAAATCTTAAAGAGGCATTCCATAATTTGTTGGTTACTTCATGCCTAGACTGCATGCCTGTAGCTGGCATCGCATCCAAGTCCTTTTTATGAATTAACTTCACCTATTTAAAGCATGTAAGGAAAGTATGATGTAGTGAACCAAATCATAGAAGCGCAGATATGAAGATCAAGATGATGCGGGGTTGGGTCTGGTTGCCGTCCCCTCCAGCTGAATAGTGTTGGTTTGACTTCGTTTTAGCAACTTGGTCGGAGCGGCAGGGATATATTGTGGAAAGTACCAAGTTCCGCGTCCTCTACTCCCGAGTATTCATGATTATGCTAAGCATCGGAGAGATGGCTTGGTATTTGATATAAAATCAACAGTCTGATTCTGGAAATCATCATGAACATTCTGACAGAGTATATTTGAAGAAAAGTTGGATTTCGATTAGTCTCTTGGTTCATAATTGTAGAGCTTACCTACATTTCGAGCGAAAATGTTTAGTGAAGAGATTCCAAAAGTCAATACCGCCAGAAGGCTACGATGGGTTCCTCTTGACCAGTTGTCGACTGGCTCTATTGGAACATTCTCACTTACGCTGTTTCCAAAGCAATCTCTTCCGATTCCAGTGAAAACATGCTATGCTTTAGTCTGTCGTATGACAGACATCATTAGAGCAGGATATTATTCTTACAACCATATTCAAGTTAAAGAATGAGGAAAACTATATATGCATTTATTTATTTATTTATAAAGAGGGTGTTGGTGGTCATCAAACCTTGATGGCCGATAAAAGGCATTACAATTCTGTTCTAGTTACTTTGGGCACCACTGCTGCTTTCGTACCTATACGAATACATGAAGGCACATAAACACGCACACACATACAGACACTCATATGCTACAAGGAATATGTATAACTTGAAATAGCCAAGTCACTTCAAACCTCATCAAAGAGCAATGATTTAGGGTATATATACAGCATTTATTGATGAGCCTGTGCGTTTTCTTGACTCGTTAGCTTGAATATGGGTGTAAGAATGATACCCTGCTCTGATGATGTCCTTTATGTGACGGGCGAAAGCTTAGCACGTTTAACCAGAATCGAAGAAGATTACCTCGTGAGCAGCTTCGTCAAGAATTTTCCAGTAAAGTAAATCGACATCTGGCCAAAAGAAATTCGCCATCGTCTTCTGGTGGAATCGACTTTCGAATCTCTTCACTAAACTCTTTCACAAGAAATGGAAATAGGCTCAATTCTGGCAGAGGACGAAGGACCAGGTACGTTCTATTCTGAACAAGTTACAAAAACGAGGTCAAACCAACACCAGACCATTGGATGTCTTATCAAGTCCGCCAAATTAAGTAAAAGAATTAAATAAGTTTTCATTCGTCCACCTTCCCTCTTAGTCTGATTAAATGGTGCACTATTTCATTTGTCCTGTCGTGACAGACTTCGTCAGAGCGCGAAAGCATATTTTACGCTATGTCGAGGGCTGTCACAGTACAGATGAAAGCATAACATCGGTTTATCGTGCCCGCCGAGGAATCCTTCGCTAAATCTAATAGTCTTCCTTTCAAGGCAGTCCTTCGATTTCCTATAAGACTATTCCATGAATTCCTTCCAACCACCATTTTCTGCGAAATGAAAAACCGAGTCCCACTAAATCACCAAGGGGTTCCTCGAAATTTAACTTCTCTTCATGTATGCATCTGAAATCAGCACCGAAAAAGGTGTTCTACTACAAGACACACCACAGGACAATATGCCGGTAATCCACTTGTAATGACTCCAAGCTCCATGTCGTGGTCTTGTAAATGTAGCCAAATTCTCTGATTTCACCGCCATTTCTGAC